TGGCTGGCCTTGGTAAGACCACTTTGGCCAAGAGATTGTACCATGAACCTTCAGTTGCACGTCATTTCCATGTTCGTGCATGGTGCTGTATTTCTCAAGTTTATGAAAAGAGAGATTTGTTGCTCACCATTTTGAATCAGATTATTGAGCTTACTGACCAAATCCGTGGCATGAAGACTGAAGATTTAGATGAAGTGCTTTACAAATCTTTGAAAAAGGAAAGGTTCTTCATAGTCATGGATGACATGTGGAGCACAGGGGCATGGGATGATTTGAAAAGATCATTTCCAGATGACAGAAATGGTAGTAGAATAATGTTTACAACTCGACACCGTGAAGTGGCTTTAGAATCCAAATCTGACTGCGATCCTCATGCTCTTCGTTTTTTTTCTGATGGAGAGAGTTGGGAGTTGTTGGAGAAGAGGGTATTTCAGCAACAAAAATGTCCCGAGGAGCTTGTAGAGTTAGGAAGGCAAATTGCAACAGCTTGCAAAGGATTGCCTCTATCAATTGTTCTAGTAGCTGGAATTCTTGCCAGGACACAGAAGAGAAAAGATTGGTGGATGCAAGTTGTGGACAGTCTAAGTTCGAAGCTTGTTGGTGAGATGGAACAATGCAAGGACATACTAGGTCTGAGTTTCAAGCATTTACCAGATCACTTGAAACCATGCTTTCTCTATTTCGGAGCACTTCCTCAGGGTGAAGAAATTGCAATTAGGAAGTTGATAAGGTTATGGGCTGCAGAAGGATTGGTGTGCAACAATGATGTAGCTGAAGACTATTTGATGGATCTGGTTAATAGGAGCCTAGTCATTGTTTCCAAAAGGAGGTCTAAGGATCATGGGGTCAAAACATGCCATGTTCATGATTTGCTGCATGATTATTGTGTAGCAAGAGCTAAAGAAGAGTGTTTTTTGATGCATATATATGATGATGATGTTAGAGAACCGGACCTGTCTGACTTGATATGCCAATTTGAAGGCCATATGGCACCTGATATTGTTGAGTATGATGTACGACGCCTGTCTGTCTTCTCTACGTGGGAGCGCTTCAGAAATCGTATGCCATCTGGTCCTCGTGTCCGCTCTCTCATGTTCTTTTCTGCTAATGTTACCAGTCAGTTCAAGTATCAGTCATCATTCAGTTCCCATATTTCTCGTATTTTTAACAACTTCAAGCATCTTAAGGTCTTAGATTTGGGGCGTATCAATGTTGGTGATTCTTTTCCTGGTCAAGTAGAAAAGCTTGTCCTGTTGAGGTACTTGGCTCTCCGAGGGCGCATAAAATCAATCCCATCATCAATAGCCAACCTCTGGAATCTTGAAACTTTGATTGTGAAAGGATTAAAAGGTGAAGTGACATTACCAGATACCATTTTAGAAATGGCAAGCTTGAGGCATCTCCACATAAATAATCGTGTTGTCTTTAGCTTGGATGACTCTGAGCCTGGAGATACCTCCCAATCAAACCTGGAGACTTGTTCCACTCTGTCTCTTTCTCACGGGATATGTGCAGAAATGATAATAAGAAGACTTGTGAACATCAGAAAGCTGAAAAGCATATTCTTTGAATCTTGGAATGACCTTGCAAACTGCAATCGCTTCCCAGTGCTCCACTGTTTGAGCCGACTTGAATCCCTTAAGCTGCTGTACCATGGTAGTATTCTGTTCCCCTGTGAAATGAGCTTGCCTTTGAGTCTTCGAAAGTTGACTTTGTCAAAGTTTCGGCTTCCCTGGGATGAAATGTCAACAATATTAAAACTACCCAACCTTGAGGTACTGAAGTTACTACATCGGGCCTTTGAGGGGGAGCAATGGGATATGGGAGATGCGGAGTTTCTTAAGCTGAAATTCTTGAAGTTAGATACTCTGAAGCTTGTTCGGTGGAATGCATCAAGTGACAACTTTCCCTGCCTTGAGCAACTGGTACTGCAAAAGTGTAAGCAACTTGAGGAGATTCCGTCTAGTTTTGGAGATATCCCTACACTAGAGAAGATTGAAGTGCAGTGGTGCAGCATTTCTGCTTCAAAATCAGCCACGGATATTGAGGCAGAAGAGCCAGACATCAAGGTCCTCATCCATCCTCCACTTGTGGAGTCCAGCTCTGAATAGAGCATAGGCATGCACTTGTTTTCATTCTAGTTAACAGTTTGTCTTTAATGTCTTCTGTTTTATCTCGTACTCTTAAGCTTAATTGGGATGCGAAAGTGATAGAGGATTTGATGAACAATTTTCCGTGTCATCTTCTGACATTCTTGTTCTAATCCTGGTAAAATTCATTGAGCCTGTTCTAGAATTTTGTCTCAACTGTAACTGATATGAAGGCTATTTGTCTTCCTCTGACGATGGTTTTGATTTTCATTATTTGTAAAGCTGCTAATTAAGCTGTCTATATCGAATTCCCACCGTTTACAAGCTTGGCTTTCTTTCAAAAGAAAGCAGTTGAAAAGACTGACAAACCAAGTGAGAGGCTGAATATTTATGTCATTTTATAGCTATACTGAGTAAGAGGGACAACTAGGAAAAAACAACTAAAGTTGAAAAGGAGAATACAAATGCATCTGCTATATTATCATCACCAAGTTTATGTTGTAAGAAACAGAAGAAAAGATGGAATTGAAGAAGGATCTTGCAATTACTGTAACAGATATCAGCTTCCACCACTTGAAATTGCTTGACTATTTGTCGTTATTATCTGTTCTTTATATATATATATATATTTATTTATTTATTAGTAAAACTGCTAACATTTCTTGAGAACAGAATAGAAGAAGAAATTGCATGACCATTATTGCATAGGAAATGCATTATCTACGTTTGTTTTGTTTAAAACAAATTAATAAGCAGATATTGCTGATATGATCATCATCAAACCCCAAGTACACCTTTATCAGCATCCTTATGATGAATTCATACCATCTGACTTGTGTTGGTAAAACATACCCTTAATGTGTGTTTAAGCCAATCAGCCTAGTCTGCAAACAATTTACAAATTCAATACAATCTTAACTGGCTACTGAGCTTGCTGCAGAAGTTCAGCTCTCCATGTTGTTTGGTTAGAGATTCCTTTTCCCAAAATCTTATTGACAATTTTAATGGAATGCTAATGCTAGCTCAGATCTGGATAATGTTGGGCTTGGAACCTGTTGACATTTCCTGCCAAAAGTTGGACGCTGTCTCTTATGTAAGACTATTGGCTAACTCTCGGTATGCGTGCAGCGTGACAGATGAAGATTGGAAACGGATATATAGTCAGAACTCTCCATTTTTACGAATTTAATTCCAGTTATAACAGTAAAATTAAGATGGAATTGATTGAGATGTGAAGTCTGGATGCTACTTAGGATTAGCCACGAATGTTAGTGTAAGTGAAAGGAGTTTGCATTCTTTAATTATGAGATCTCGGATTCGAAACTCATGAAAATGAAAAGAAGAAAGTCGGGAGAGTTTCTCCCCGCAATGGCCCGACTCTGCTTGAACATGATTAGTAGCAGATTATAAAACGGATACGAATACATGTGGTTTATAAAAAATAAAAAAAAAACGCTATTTAGGATTAGATTAAAAAATGCTGATTGTTTTCTATTAAAAGATTGCCAAAATTCTAAAAGTGAAATGTAGTACTTAAAAGTACACTTTGGAGGTGCTTGCATTTATTGTAGTTTCATTTCTGTTAAAAGAACAAAGCTATGCCTCCTAGTTTAAGACACAAAAACCTCAGAATTCTTGATTCTTGGTGGAGCACAAACTTTCTTATTGTCTGCCATCTCCTTCATACTTAACCAACAAATCCATAAAAAGAAGAAAAAACAAGAAAGGAAAACCCTTTTATTTTTCCATATCAACCATGGCAAAGAAAAAGAAAAGCATTAGTTAGATACATATCCTTGTACACAAGTTTCAGATTAACTAAAACTGAGCTATTCACAAAAATTCCAACAAATAATTTGTGTGCCTTGAAATTAAATCTTGTAATTTGCTATGGAGTACAATCTAGCTAGATCTCAATGAAAATTAGTTTGCTTGGAAAGCCATTTTTTTTTAAAAAAAAATAGTTACGTTTTTCATGAACACATTTTTCAATTATTTTTTTACTTTATATATATCAAATCGCTACAATATATTTTTCTACAAAAATTTCAGAAATTTGCAATCCAAACAGGAACGAAGCACAATGGCAGCTGAGGGCAATTGTATTGCTACATGACTAGGAAAAGGCCATACCATTTACATTTCTTGATCAAAATCAACTACTTATCCTTTTTCCTACTCTCAAAAAATGCATGAATTCTCAGTCAAAGTGATACCGACACACCAGCAAAGAGTCGGGGGAAAGAAGTAATTGCCAACCATCACTTTTATTTCTACTTTCAACTTTTCAGATAAGTAGTACGGATCTTGCAGTAATGCATGTTGCATAGCCTTTAACAGAGCCCATACCTTCCTAACATTGAGAGATATAATTCTTTTGGGGGCATTATTGGTGTTGCCTTTAATAACTACTAATGTGCATTTTAATGTTGCAGTTGGGCAACAAAATGAGCCCCAACCATGTGGCCTAAAGTGCAAGCCACAATCTATTGCTAGGGAATTTGCCCAACAATTGTAATCTTTTGTACATCATATTAAAGTATAAATAAAAGTGCTGTTTGATAAAAAAAAAAAAAAATCCCAGAACTTAGTGATTCCTTTTAATGATGGAAAATAGAACTTAGTGACTTTTCATTCAAAAAAGAAATTTTTTTAAAGCCTATCTAAAACGTTTTGACTCACATTCGTAATTTCAAGGTACAGGATTTATCTTAAATTTAATTGTCACGTAGATTTTCTTGAACTTCTACTATATGAAAAATAGTGATGTTGATTTAGGGTGTTTGCTAGGATTGTTAATTTTGGGCACCTATCTTTTTAATGAGGTTAGAAAATGTACAATCAAAGCTTTTAAATGGACATTGGTAACCAATTTTTGAGGGATGGAAGAGCAGTATAAATGAGGCTTTCCCCATCTCATTTCTCACACTTTGTCGTAGACTTGTAGTTGGTCAGTTCACATGGCAAAATATCTCTTCACTTTTCTTTTCATTTTCCTTCTCTCCTTTGCTGGGATTATTGCTGCAACCCAAGTAAGAAACTTGCCTCTAAACCCTATACCAATTTTCATTTTCCAAAGTGCTTTAACCAGAATTAATTCTAGTTCTCTGCATTCTAATTTTAAGTTAATTATTGACAAAAAAAATCCATTATCTACTTCTTTATTTCCTTCTTTTTTCGTTTTTGATACTGTTCATTTGGAAAATATTGACATTGAACATGGTTTTTCTGCATTTTAAGGCATAGTTACTTGCCACATTGTACATTGCAATCACATTGTACTAGATTTCTTTATCGACTAGACTAGATTATCTACCACACAACAATGATATCTTCTTTTTTTTTTTTTTTTTTGGTTACAAAAATCTTGACTTTCTTGCTTGATCTGCAGAAGCATGATAAACACAGGCATTCGGGCTTCTCTGAGGCAGGTTTGTTCTTGATCTCTTTCTCTCCTTTCATCCTACTAAGTAAAGCAGAACAGCCATTTTGTGAAGTCTTTGTAGCTAAAAATGTCTAAAATGTTTGTTATAGCTGTTATTTGCAATTACTAACAGATATTCTCTTTTCTCTGCTTTTCTTTTTCAAGAAAAAGAAAAGGGTATGATAGACCAGTTACTAATAATGTTAGGAAATAAGGTACATTGTACATAAAGATTCACATGAATCAAAGGTACATGCATGATACATCTTATATGTTGAAATTGGTTTGTCCCCAATTGAAATGGTTGGTAAATTATGGAAATGTTGAAAACTACTCATATTTTAAAAAAAAAAAAGGAAAAAAGAAAAAAAATTGTACCCTCTAACGATTTGTAACTTTGGAATGTTAAGCAAAAAAACAAAAAAAAAAAGGGTAGCAAATTCTACTACTAGCCTTTTGAACTTGTGTGCATTGTCCCAAAGTTGAAAAACCAAAAAAAAAAAGAAGAAGAAGAACTTGCATGCGTCATTAGCCAAAATACTTTCCACATTCTGACATAAATTCGTTGCAAAATCTGAGTTTGTATAATCTGATATCAACTCGATCATATGAGAACCAAAATTAGCATATTCACTGGTTTGAAGATTCAATTATGAAAGCTACGTTTATGATAACAAAATAACACATATATGGTGATGGAAAGAACTGTTTGGATCCTAGCATTGCGCGACAGAAATTGAGCCAGATGATCTGATGCACAAATTCATTTTGTATTAGAAAAAAAATCATGTTGGATTTTAGCACATTTAATTGCCAATAGAAAAGAAATTAAAAAAATGAATAACTGAGAGCCTGAGGATATGGTCAAAAAACTATTTTATGTGTTGGAAAGGATATAGAATCAGAAAGAAAGTCATCAAATTCTTACCTTCGTCTACAAACTTTCTACCCTTTTCTTAGCTTAAGTTGTCTTTTGTTGACTTTGAACCAAAAGGGTGGAAAAATTAGAGGTAAATGAAAACTATAGAATAATTAATATACTAAATATGAATTGATAAAAGTTTATGTCACATTCTATTCTTTTAGTAGATAGATAGATAGATTGTAGATCACTTTCACCAGCATTACATGTGAGTATGGGCTTACGTGCATGAATGGAGAATCCATTTACCAAAACCTAATGAAAACAAGAAAGCAAGTTTCAAGAGTCATATCTCCAAAAGTATACTACTATTATGCTTTTTGGTGATATGATATAAAGTATAATCATTCTAGAAAGGGTTAATTCCACTTTGTCCCCCCAAACTTTGGACGATTATCCACTTAAATCCCTAAACTTCAAAATGGGACACTTAAGTTCCTAAACTTATAAATACCTCCCACTTAAGTCCCTGAACTTATAAAATGGGACACTTCGACCACCAATGACATTCAGGATTTGTTAATAAATTTCCTTAAGTGGGAGGTATTTATAAGTTTAGGGACTTAAGTGTCCCATTTTGAAGTTTAGGGACTTAAGTGGGTAATCGTCCAAAGTTTGGGGGGACAAAGTGGAATTAACCCTTCTAGAAACCCTTCTTTATTGGAGTGGCTTTTGTGTTTATGGTGAGTTAGAAGTGAAAATTATTTACTTTTATAAATATAAAATACTGATAATTGTAAAAGAGAAAAAGCCTATGAAAGAGAAAGGAAAAGAAAAAAAAGTTAAACATTGCTGATTTCGTCTGATATTTTGGTTTATTATTTACAAAAAAAAAATGTTGGTATATTTGATCAATATAGTTTAATATACTAGCTTTTACAAAATCCTTCATGAGTTTAATTTATACGTCAAATTTCTTTTTATTGAGGTTTAACTACTAAAAACTATCTAATTATCGGATTTATTGCATCTGTAAATTAAATATAAAATCTTCTGCACCAAAAAAAAAAAAAAACCACTAGATAGATAGCTATAATTGTGAATTTAAATCCACTATACTTGGAAAAGGTCAATGTAAATCCAAAAACTTAAGAAAATTGTCTTGTAGTAAGTTTCACCAATTGTAACAAAATGAAAAACAATTATATATCAAACACAACTTGGAGGCCTAACAAAAAATCTTACAAGTGGTGATAAGCATGCGAACAAAATTGGGCCCAAACACAACTCAGGCCGAACATAGAACCTGTGGGACATCCTTTGGGCCCTCAGGTCCATGTGCGTTAGTGCGGTAAGACTTTGTTTGGCAGTACCTTTTCTTTCTAGTTTCTATAATGATATATCCCCATTGCCGACATGAAAGGACTTTTCATAAAGTTGTAACCTTGTGGATTCCTGAATAATTTGAACTTGATACTCACTTTTGATAGTGATTAATGGAAAGCTTTTTTATCCCTTGTTTGGTAAGTAGAAATGGCTTGAAAATGAAATGCCTTTCCAACTTGTCCATTCGATTCCAGCATTTGGTATGATTCATTTGAGTGAAAAAGCCCTTTCTACCTGAATGTTTATTCCAATTTTTTTTTTGGAATCCTATTCCTTAAAAATACTCGGGGAAAGCTCTTTCCACCTTTATTGTGTAATGCCTAAATACAAAGATGTCGAATTTATGCTTATAAATTTTTACGCTGCATCATGATATCTTAGCCTATTTGTAAGCTCAATTAATATTTGAATGTAATTTTTCATAATAATTAATTTTTCTTGTATCTTAAATAATTTTTTTCTTTTATACTAAGAAAGAAATGTTTTAAGATACTTTATTCTTGGACTTTTGAACAATTGTGAAGGTTTTTTTTTGCATCTTATCAAAATTGAAAATAGATTAAAAATAAATTATAGTTGTTTGACTTCATGCAATTTATATTTTATGTTGCTAATTATATTGCTAGTAAATGCAAAATTTTAACTTGCAAATCTATATATTAAAATGAATCAAGTATTACAATTGAAGAATTTTGACATTAATCTTCATTTATTTTTGAAGTAAAAATATCAAAAATTTACATAAATAGGCAAATACTATTATAGAAAAAAATGAAAAAAAAAGCAATAAGACATATTACATCCTATATATTAATTTAGTGCAATTTAGTCATATTTGTATTTAGTATATTCTATTTTGACATCTAAGTATTGATTATACTAAACATTGAAAACTCAGTAAACATTTCATTCTGACTTTTCTACCAAACCCTAGAATCGTAAACTTTTTTCCCGTCATTCTGGATGGAAACGTATTCTGGATGGAAAGGTCTTTCAATTCTAGACATTCTTGCATACCAAACTAGGGTTAATGTAATGAATCTCTACAACTTTTATTTTTTTGGATGATTTGGCTAGAAAGTAAAAGGACAAACCTTTACGTGGTTGTGGTGCTATGTTGTTTACTACATTTCTTTCGAGAAAAGAAATTTTTACACGTTGAGAATGCTATATATATTCTTGTATCATACCGTACTTTTCACTGCCTATCACTATATCAGTAATTAAATCTGTTATATGTAGATTTACACACGCATTAAGAACTTGCATCTAGCGTTAAGGATGCCCAAAGAGAACTTGTGCAATATTTTCATATGTAGTATTTTAGAAACCATCTACCAACTATACTTATACTAACTCAACTAAGAAGGGTGCAATTCTCTTTTGAGAGTTTTAAAGTTGTAGAAGTTGATAAATACCTAAGTATGATACCTCCAACAATTAAGGATTAAGTGACAAAGGCCAAGCCCAACCTAGTAACCATATATACAAAATTAGTACTGTAGAACCTACGTTTTTTTTTTTTTTTTTTTTTTTTTGGGGGCAATAGAAAGCAGAAAATTTTCATCAACTTAATCAAATGCTGGCCAAAATTAATGGGGTTACAAGGGTAAAGTACCTATATAATTGTCAACCACAATTTTTATGTAACTTCAATGTATGAATTTGAACAAGTGTAACTACAATTTCTTTCATGTTTCTGCAAATTTTCACAAGAACTTATCATAAGATGGAGTGAGGCAGCCAACTGACCTAATGGAGTGAGCTACGTTACCTAGTAAGGATTTTACCTAGGCAAACCACCTAACAAGCAAGATCTAAGAATAAATAACATTGTCAAACCTAACACTTAAGAGTGATTTTTCACTTGGTTGAAAATGATAAAGGGTCGAGTAAAAAGTGTAGATCCATGCAACAACAATGAAAGTGAAATTAATTATTGCTTCCTAAGGACACAGAATGAAAAGTAGAAGATGATGAACCTAAGCAAGTTTTGAGTCTACTTTTTCTGTAACTTATCCGATTTATTTGGATTGCTATTTTCTGAAATGAAAAGCAAAAGAACAAAATGTCAAAAAATTTTACATAATATTCATTCTATTTGTTATATCATTACTGCTAAAAGAGTTGAAAAAAAAATAATAATAATAAACAAAGGGTTGACCTTTAACATCTGCATTAGCTAAACACGTGTCAACAAAAAGCACTTCAATCTCCAAAGTCAATTGAGAAAAACTTGAACCTATTGACAATCATTGAGTAGGTAGATGATATGTTGATGAATCAAAACATGTTAGCACTAAAAGTTAATCTTATACTTTGTCAAATCATGATGAAAGGAAAACAAACTCAAAGCCTTGTTTGGATTGCCGTTTGCCGTCGGAAAATTACGTCGTCTTTCGTGATCACATTTCCCTATTACCTTTTTTCCTCACATACATTAAATCGCTACAGTAATTTTTCCATAAAAAATCATGAAAAATGCAATCCAAACACAAAGTTTTTCTGGTAACCATTTTAAGGTCAACTATGTAGATCCATCTTCTCCATCTTCTCTGGCTTTATTTTCTTCTTGGTATCCTATTTATAAATATTGCTTGTTGTTGTTTACTATAACGAGGGAACCAAACCAAGAAAACCTTAGGTAATGGCAATAGTATTGAAACAATTAATGATAGAATTACTTGCAAGATATTAACAAAATTTCCTCCATAAATTTTGTAATTAAATGATGTCTACAAAACCGTGTCATTATGCATAGAATTTTATACATAAGTATCAGAGATTAATTCGGCAAGCAATAAAAATCTTTAATGCATGGTATTTACCCTGATTTTAGTTTGGAATCTTTATTTCTGATTCAAGACCCCCAAATGGTTCTTGCCAGCAAAATTAATCTGGCCAGCTCATTTACGTGCATGCACATTTAATATGTTCAGGATTCGGGAGCACAAACCCACCAAACTGAATTAGCAAAAAAAATATCCTAATTCATCCCATCTCTCTCATATTTACTTTCTTAGTGCTTAATGATTTTATTCCAATATTTTTTTGGTTTTAATAAAAAGTATTTTTACGCCGATATAGGTAGTAGGGATCTTTATTATTTAGGAAATTAATCACTCTAATTTGTTGGTTGGCAAGATTTCAACATTTTAGTACATCCAATTAAACATAATGAAATAGAGCAGAGTTTTTTTTTTTTTTTTTTTTTTAAAGGAAGAGTTTATTTAAGTTTTCCACAGATGATTACAAGAGGATGGAACAATATAATTTAATCCTTCATTAACCAATAAACGTGTGAGTTTTTCATGGGATGTTTGGTCCAGTAGTTGATTGCCACGAAGATGATTAAATATTGATGGCCAGATAAAAATCAGCATAAAAAATATATTTTTTTCTACCTCTCTCTCTCTCTTTGATTTTTCAGTTTAAACAAACAGAAGTTCATCAAAGTGCTCAGTAATGATCTAATGCCAAATAATTAAATTATTGGTTTGGCATTTCTGCAGAGATTGTCCACTTCATTTCAGACAGTTCTCAATGCATCAAACACAAGCACCTCCCCTCATTGCTGTCCCCTCATTATTTTATTTGGCAAAACTCAAATGCAGGATTATATATTCTTTGCAATAACACAGATTAACAACTTTCTTTAGCAAAATATTTACACAAGATTAGTCAATCTTTATATTGTCTAAACTTGATAAAATGCACACTAAAAGATTTCTTTTGGAAAAACATTTATAAAACTCGGTCACTAATTTGAGTTGTGATTTGTGAATAAATGTTTATATCATGTAAACATGCAATATAGACATTTTTAAAGAAGTACAAGATTTTTCATGCTTAATCTTGAACTAAATTATGTTGCTTTGTGGAACTTAACAATGTTGTGGATTTTGGATCGAGTACAACAAATTCTAACGGATGAGGGATTTTTGTGCTTTTGTATTCAAATCTTGATGCAGAGTGTCCTGGTGCATGCACATATAGATGCTCAAAAACAGCTTACAAGAAGCCTTGCATGTTCTTCTGTCAGAAATGTTGCTTCAAATGCAGATGTGTGCCTCCCGGGACCTATGGCAATAAACAAGTCTGCCCTTGTTACAATAACTGGAAGACTAAAAGAGGAGGCCCCAAATGCCCTTGAAATTTTCACTTTGTACCCTTTCGATTTATTGAAAGGTTGAAGAATGTGGATTGCAAATGAAGTGATGGGGAGCAGTTGATCATGATCAGAGTTGAGTTTTTTTTTTTTGCAGTTGTTAGACTTGAATTTTTCATCATGAGACTGCTGGGATTCTAATTTCTTGCCTTTGTTTAAACTGATTGGTGTGTTTGAAGTCAAATAATTTCTTACTTAGAAGATTTCTTTTTTTTTTTTTTGGGCAGTGATGATCAAAATTCAAACATATGGTTTGTTCCATTTAGAATCGGATTATCGTTATTGAGTGTAGATTTTTTAATAGCTTGTTCTTGGTAATGATCCCAGTTGTTTTCAAGTCAAATAATTTCTTAATTAGCTGTCACTTGCAGCATCTTTCTTTGGTTGCTTAAAACTGCAACCTAAATATATTGTCCATGGTCAACTGCCTCTGCTGCTAGTATTTTTCAAGTAACCTAAATAACTTGTTGTTGAGGAGAAATGTGAAGAAGTGAGTTGAGGAGATCGATCCATTCAGGTCTGACTCAAGGTTTTGAAATGCTACTCAATTGTTCCCTCTTCCTAATTTTTCTCCATATACCCCAAGCTCTTTGGATTTCCACATTATGTGAAAAATATGCATGTTTGTGCTCATGAATATGGAAAAACTTGATGCAATGAAAGCAAGAAAGAACTGAAACATTAAGGAACCAATATTTTTCTTCAGGTTCTTCTTTCTTTTCTGATTATATATGTCCATCCAAATCCCAATTTAGTGATCATTTTTTTGGGATGGTTAATCCTATTAAGTAACACCCTTTTGTTTTCTCAACAAAACAGACAGAAGAATCAAGAAACAACAGCAGAATCTTGAAAATGAATATTTCTAGGTGCAGAGTTGAAGACAAAGCCAGCCAGCTTCATGTCTGATGCCTCAAAAATACTAATTAAGATTAGTTCATCTAACCTCTAATGCTTATGCCATGCTGCTTAAGTGTATATATTAGTTTTATGGATGTCAAAAGCATATTATTACTAATGTCAGAATCAAACATGATTCTCTGATTCTGCCTTAAAGAAACGCAGTTAGTACTCAATTATTTATCAGCCAAATTGGCTTTTCCAAAAGAAAAGAAAAAAATAAAGCATCACGAAGAAAAGAAATATTAAGTAATGAAAGTGGTCCATCTCAAGATGAATCCAAGTGTTGAAACTTGGCTGGTCTATTTTCAAGTTTTACAAGAAAATTACGCCTTGTTTGGAAAGCAATTTTCCACCAAAAATTTGTTACGTTTTCAGTGAACACATTTTCCAATCACTTTTTTACTTCATATATATTAAATTGTTACGGTATATCTTCTACAAAAACTCTAAAAAACTGCAATCCAAACAGGACCTCAAGTATATTAAAATTGTTAGACAAGTTCCTAAATAACAACATTATGGTTACTACAGAAGAACTACCTAGGAAAAAGTTTTGTGATCCATGCCAATCAACAGAGAGTAAAACGTAGAACAAAAGTTAGGCAGCCATCATAAAAGTATGATTGAAGCTAGCTGTTTTGGCGTAGTCGATCCTCCCAAGCACAGTGAAAATCAGGAAAAGGTAGGCTTTCCTTGACCTCATTTTCAGCAGATGAGGAAAAGAAGAGCAATTCAAACTCCAAACATATAATTAATCTGACAAATGCCCTTTACCATGTTAATCAATCCTCAATAGCCAGCTGCTGATGGTAACACCTACCCTACTACTTCAATTCCTGAATAATTCACTTTTCAAATGAGTAGAAGTAAACATCAAATTATCAAAGTTTAGCTAAGACTGATGCCAGAAGATGACACTGTTTTCCACTTGGCAGACAAAGCATATGTCACACTTCAGCTTGTTTGCAAGAGGAATGAACTTGGCACCTTCCAACTACTATTTCCATTCAACAGGGTAATGACTGGACAAAGGAATTTAAGTCTCATTCAAACCTCATTCAACAAAATACAACTAGGCTGAAACACCAAGTGGAGGAGACTTCAGAGGGGCATATACCTCCTCCACCTTGTGGTTTGTACAAAAGCAATATATTAAATTAATATAGCAAACGACAGATAATAGGATATATATAATTTTATATATAACATCATCTAAAAGTCTAATAATTTCAACAACATGGTCAAATGTTCAGGGGACCATCCGCACCTGTTTATTACAACCATGACTAGCCCTTACAACTTCTATAACTACAATGTAAGGAAAACAACAAACTAAGATAATATTCTGGCGATTAAAAATCCACCTTATAGAGCAGATAGACCTATTATCTGATGAACCCTCCGATCACCGGAACGAGCTTTGCTTTGATTGATTGCCAAGACTGACTACTTGATACTCATTTCAGCTAATCTTTTCTTAATGGTACCATATTGGGAGGTCCTGCTTTGATGCATTATCCCTCGAAATCCCAGGCAAGCCTTCAGTAAAGTCAACAGAAGGTAGATTGAATGGTGACCCGAACATGAACTGGAAATTCTCATTGGAGTTGTTGAATGGAGAACTTGTTATCTTGCACTGGTCAAACCGGTCACCATGCTGAAACATGGGGCGACTAGCTGGAATGTTAGTATCTTCAAAACGATCTCCCTGCTGAAAAATAGAACGGTTGCTGGATACATTAGTATCTTCAAAGATATTACCCTCCATCATTATCCCTTGGCCATGAAGGTAATTGTCAGATTGACATTGCATGCCAGGTTGCTGAACAGATTGCTCTTTAATCACAGCGGCATTCCCAGAATCTGCATTCTTGTTGCCTTGGATATTAGACTCATAAAATGACATGAGGTCATTGATCATCCTTTGCCCATCTTCTGGAACTCCAATCCCTGATAGATTGAAGGATGGTGGGTTTGCATTAACTGGCAGGGCAGCAGACTTTGGCTGGACAAATGACTGAGGAAAGACCATCGGCTTGACGTCATTAACGTTAAAATTCGAAACTCCAAATTGTGGAGAATTTCGAAAAGGACAAGATAGTTGATGATTATCTCTGGAAGATCTGTCCTGAAATCCGTGGCGAAGTTCGCTATGAGGACATTGAAGGAACTCACACGTGTAGATTTTGTGATCGATCATGACATCCAACTCATTAGCTGGCTTCCTCTTTCTGGCAAAGTCTAAATTGGTTACGACTTCATCCTTAATTGCATGAGATTGTTGCTGAACAGGAAGCCTATCTTTAAACCTGTCGGTTGCCATATTCAACAGATGAAGATTACTTGGCTTTTGCTCCTGTACGTCAAAGTTAGGCTCATCTTCGACACCTTCCACGTCATACTCACTGCTGTCATTCATTGCGAAAGATCCGCTGCCACCAGATGACGACAAAGGAGGGCACCGATCAGGGAATAGTTCTCGAGCCAAAGTCTCCTCTTGGTTGATGATGGCGAGCCACGTTGCACTCTCCTTGGCAGTCATCTTGTCCTGCAAGCACTTTGATTGCCTTACAAGCTTGCGAATCTTGGCAATATCAGGAGACATGTGCTTGATCACAGCCGTTAGAACACCCACCTTCCATGCCTTTTTCAGATCATGAGGCTTCTTGTAAGGTGGAGGGCCTTGATCCTTCTGCAAGCCCAATTGAGGCCACCACTCCTCATTCCCTGTGGGCCACCATGGTGGCGGAACACCCTTCTCTAATGGAAATCTCCTCTGAGGGGGATCACAGTGCTGCATCAGGGCTGACAACAATGATCCAAGGGTGGTATCTTGAAGCTCTTGCAGAGTATGTGGTGTAGGACCAACAGGATTACAGCCCTCATTCTTGCCAGGGATTGAATTATCTGCCTGGTATTTGGAGATGGCAGCAGGGCCGTTACGATCAAATCTGACCTTGTCCTTCCACCACTCCCTGAGATTGTCAGATGCACCACTTACTGGTTTCCCTTTTTCAGGAATAATCCCATAGACAAACCCTTGAGCCTTACACACTTCCATCATTTTCAGCATATACTTCAATATTCCATCTTGTGCCCTTGACATCTTCTTTCTCCTAGCCTGCTCTTGGGACTGCCTCTGTTTGGCCACATCAACACCATCCTTGCCTTTATTCATTTCCTTGAGCCTTTTCAGACGCATCTTATCCCTCCACATCCTCCTTTCCAGTTCATCAACATCAATTTCCTCATCAGTATAGTCATCATCAACAACTGGGTCTGATTCAGGTTCAGCCTGAGGAGTTACTGAATCTGCTTCCTTGAGTGGAGCAGAAAAGAACTCCAGATCACCGCAAAACCCGATATCGTCGAACATCATCATTGTTCAAGGTAGTAGACTCTCAAAATTGACACCAAACTTCAAAGGACTTGTTAAGGTTATCCAACTGATAAACCTCAGTCTTAAATCAACCAATTCTCCTGCAGAAAAGAGCAAGTATTACATATACTAACACTTTAATAAGATATCACATAGTCATACCAACCTGCAAAAATAGATCAAAAAGTGAAAACAAACCCTCAGCATGGATCCAGAGTTATACACTAAGAATGTTTAATCAAACCAAAAAATAAGTCACTGCTAATTTTATTCCACTCCAGAATCAAGTTCAAATGAAAAAGCCAACTACAAACATGTCAACATAAAAATATAACATGAATACCGACTGCAAGGAACATGTAAAAAGAAGCCTTCAGAAACTGGTTAAGATCATCTTTACATCTGTGACAGAAAACCAATCACCAAAAAACTCCCAGATCTGACACATGTCAACTTTATCCACCAAAATCCAATCGACTATTTCCATAGAACTAAAGAGAGAAAAGATTCCACATCAGGAAACCTGATTCACAAATTCACAGACTTCCCTAGATCTGATATACCCTTGATATTCACTAAAACCTCAACCAAATACCACAAAACTGCTCAGAAGAACACTGTTTCCATCAGAGACAAACACGAACAACAAAGCCAGACCAAATTCAAGCAAAACCCAGAAATCAAAAGGACCAAAAAAGCTCATATATGATCAAAAGCTAGAGGCTTGATGGCCAATACTACAACCAAAAAAACAGCATGATAAAGCAAAAAAGCTCATATAACATACAAGAATCCATCTAGGCTTTCCACAAGACACACAAAAACAGTAAAAAAGACAACCAGCATAAGCATACTAAACACAAAAAGATCTCAACTTGAACATAAAAAAGCCACAAGAAACCATTTTTATCCTATTTTCAAGACTCTGCAAGAAAAAAAGGAAGAACTTCTGTTACCTCAGAGTTCATCTCCCAACTCTTTTTCAACTTCCACTCTCTCCTTGCAAGAATAATTGACCCTTCAGACCATGGACCAAAATAGATAGAAAGTAGAAAGCCAACAAAGGAAAGAGAGAGGAAAGTGAGAGAGAGGAGGAACCGGGGCAAAGTGGTGGAGTTACAGTGTTATATAAGTAGTTTTATATTGATTAAAATATTAGACTACGTGGTGGTGTATTGGGAGGTGAAAAGTGTCGGCTGCTGCAGTCTGATAACGCTAAAAAATGCACAAATATTAACTTATTCAGTCAAAACTTCATTCGGGAAAAACAACTAATATGAAGATAAGAGAGTCGAGCTAAATTTGTAGTACTATATTCTTGTTTGTTTATTGGGATTGGGATAAGAGTTTTTGGAGTTGGGGACTTGTTTTTTTGGGAGATGAAAGAAAAGAGTGAATGACTTTTGAGATGAATTCACAATTAAGGCAGGGGACAGAGTTGGGACCGTGTGTGTTGGTGGAGGAAGTAGTGCGTGTTGTGTGTGTGACTTGTGGTGTTCTTCCATCTTCATCTTGTTTGGTCTTTATAGCGAGGATGCAATAAATTTAGGGGTAGAGGATAAGGGAAGAAAATGTGGGTCATAACTCATGTTTGTCTTCTTTTCATTTTTCTTTTTTCCTGCGGTGGTAGAAATGATTTGGTGTATTATGCGTTTTGAGTCCGCAAGGAAATGGGACGGTGAAATATGGAAGCAAAGAGAAATTATGGGTATTGTTTGGAAGGTTATTATACTCCATTGGGCAAAAAAATCTACTTCTTATACATTTGTTGGACACTAATTTATTAGTTTCTGAGTTCTTCTGCAAAGAAATAAAAGGATATCTAATTTGATCTAAGATTAGCGATTACGAGTTTCTACTACGCTTTACCAAATCGGTGCGTGTCATTAAATTTACGCGAGTTACGTATATAAAGAATGCAATAAAGATACGTGGTTCATTCATCATACAATTTTTTTATTTTTTTTTTTGCTTTCTCCAGGCGCTTTTCTATTGTCCATATATAAAGTTTGTTATTAAACATTTTCTCTTTTGTTAAAGCCTTGGTAATATAATAAAAGAAAAAAGATTTTTCATTGTCCTAAATTGTAGAAAGGAATGCTATCAACAATTAATATATTAATGAGGTTTTAGTTATTTAATTTTTCTAGAAAAAAGATTTGTTGTGGGGCAAGGAAGCAGATGCAAATTATGGTCATCATTTAAGAGGTTATTAACTCATTCGAGGCATAAAAAGAATCTGCTATTTAAGGAATACTAATTATATGTTTGGGAAAATAAGCTTATCAATTTTTAATTCTACAACAAATAAAAGAAAAATTATCTAATTTGATTTAAAGATTGCAATGATTTAAAATATCAATGCAATTCATTAAAATAAGATAGCAATAAAGATCTCTAGTTCTTTTACGTGATTTCTTTTGTCAGATGCGTTTTATCTTGTATATTTATTAAGTGTATTGTGGCTAACAAATTAATTTCTTGTTCTATTTTTCTTTCTTTTGTTGGTAGTACCAATGAAACTTTTATGCTGCAAGAAGTATTTACATAGTCCAATAGAAATTCAACAAAGAACGGTTTTCAACTATTAAAATTTTTTATTAACAAATTAATGAGATTTTCTTCATATTTTTGAGTAACAAAAAGAAATTTAGTGATTGCGAGTTAATTAATGATATTTTGATAGTATTAGTTATTTAAGATCCTACTTGGCTGCCAATCTGATCCCTTGAAAAAGAAGATTCTACCTAGGCTAAATTGACAACATTTGTATGAAATTAATTATATTTAGAACTAAAAGATTATAATTCCTAATTTGCACTACAAATAGAAGACATTATTCCTGATTTGACCCATAATAGAATAATGAGCAATTAAGATTTGACGTTTCAACCCATTTTACCAATATTTGTTGAATCGTACATTTATTTCTTAATTTAAACAAAATTTTGAAGCCGTTAAGCTTGCCTTTATTCTACTTTTTTTTTTTTAAAATGGCTTTACTTTGTTATTTTTCAAATTCTCTTGTTTCATTAATGAGTTTCTTCTAAATTTGCAAATTGGTTCTTCATATATTCTATTGTTCACTAATGAGTTTCTTCTAAATTTACAAATTGTTTCTTTGTGATAGCATTGCAGTGTGGAGCTCTTTAGAAAATATATGACAAAAGTTTCGTGACAACCAACAAAAATTCTTTGTATAATATTCTAAACTATTAAAGATCAATTTCTTCTTTTTTCTTTCTTATGTTCTAAGAAAATCTACTTGGTGATTTCATATGAATAGAAAATGATTAGGTTAGACCTTAATCAGTGTTTTTTATATTATATTTAAGTATACTATTCTCGTTATAATAATAAATCTCGTTTTCTAAAAATAAAAAGTAAAAAATTGGCAAAAATGGAAGTTTCTTTTTATTTTCTTTGAAAAAAATAATTTGATAATGATAGAGATGGGAGTTAATGTGCATTTGACAAAGCATGTTAGATTCTATTTTTACCAAAATTAAATCAAATTATGTCTAATTTCATTTTAGTAAAAGATTTAGAATCTCGATCATGATTCATGATTTAGCATTTCAATTGCATCCGTCAATTTTAGATGATTTCTTTATTTAAAAGTGGCCATAAAGCCAATAGTTCTTCAATTCCCTTACCAATTTTCTCTTTTGCTACTCTGTGAGTCATTCCTCCCATTAAAGAGTTTGTTATCATCAATTTCAGAATTTGTTTTTCCTTGGTAGTATGGTACTGTGAAACTCGCTAACAAGATTAAATGAAAAATGTTTTGAATAGTGAACAAAATTTCTTAGGGTTTTTTTTTTTGTCAAACTAATCTTCTTTCAAATAAAAATTCCCGAAGTGAAGCGCTTTTATATTTTATTCCCATAGTGATGTTTTCTGCTTGGATCTGTGGATAAATTGTCAATTAAGATGAACTAAAATTTTGACATTTTCTATATTGGAGAGTATGTGGACATGTCAAGTATAAGATTATCCATCTCTAATAAATTTTAACATATAATAAATTTTCTACTAATTGTTTGATGCCCTTAGACACTTTTAAGTAAACCAGGCCCACAAAGAAAAAAAGAAAATTTGACATAAAATAATTGGAAGAAATAAAAAAATTTTCATTGGAAAAGGAAAAGGGAAATTGGAAGCATGAATAGGTGAACTATATAAAATAAAAATATAATATTCAACAATTACATTGTAAATTACTAGATTCAATAAATCATTTTGGTAAATATACTAGATTCAATAAATCTTCAACAATTACATTGTAAATATGTTAGATTCAATAAAACTATACTCCTACTAGATTCAATAAATATACTAGATTCAACGGATACATGTGACCATGTTAGAAACTAATTCTGATAAATAAAATGTTAGAAAATAATTTTGGTAAATTTAAATCTTCAAATATCACAAGTCATAATTAATGGATGTAGAGGAGAACTAATTTTTCTCATTGGCCTTTTATCATACACATGAGGTGAGAAATTATATGTTATCAACCACCATTAAGAATAGTCCAAATGTCATAAAAGTTTTGTAGTTGTTGTGCAATAATTAAATAAAAAAGAGAGAGAACAACCTTAAGTAGCTTTGAGTGGCAAATACAAGTATTGAATTTCGAACTATTAAATAATCACCAAGGATTGAATTTTAAAACTTAGTTGATTATATCTTAGGTTCTATAAGAAGTTGTATGGCTTGAGAAGACCCAAAAAAAAAAAAAAAGACTAATAGAAAGGAGAGAGGGCAAAAAATGAAAAGAGATACAAAATGGAATAATGAGAATGGGTAGAGACAAACCTGCGGGTTTGGAGTTTGTGGGAATATACACATTAGTAAGGGAATAAAATTTGCAAGTGAATAGCTCAAAAAAAAATTGCAAGTGAATCATTTTGGCATTATTTTTGGACAGGAAGGTTATTTTGGAAATAAACTCAAATTTCTTAATTACCAGGCTTTGAAATTTGAATTCAGTTACATTATTAATTTTTTTTGTTTTTCGTTTTAGGAAAAGGATTAATTACATTTGGAATTTGAATGTTTTTTGTTTCAAAATAATTACTACGTGTTTGACAATTATATTAAATTGGTGGTGGCACTATTGTTAATTAAGAAGTAGTTGTGCATAAGTAAAAACAATTTGACATTTTAAAATTTATTTTATTTAGAGTATAACTCATGTCATGTCATAGATATTTCTTTTCAAAGAAAAAAGAAAAAAGAAATAAAAAAGTAGAACTTTACCCTAATTTTGTTAGGCCATGGCACTTTTGTTCTGTAATGATTTTCACCCGCATGAAGGACTGTTGAACGATCTTTTAATTTGCCTGCAAAATCTATCACTTGAATTAAAGAAGCTTAATTGTAGACATCTTAATCATATACGTAAAAATTATTCATTGACCACATTAAATTCAATAAGAGATTAAATTAATAGCTATATAATACAATTTTAAAGCATTAGATGATTTGTGAGCGTGCAATAGTTATATTAAAAATTACACTATGATATTATGCATACCAATTCCTTATATGCATACAAAGGCACAATGTACTAAGCATGCTATTCAACTAGACAAATTAATATTTCCTTGCAAAATTAGTCTGGAGTGAAATATATTATTATGTACATGAAATGTCAATAGTATGAAACAATTTGACTAGATTGTAACTAATATGAAGAAATTATAGCCATTTTGCAGCATGTGCAAATTTTCCAATAAAATCTCAACATAATTTGCTCAAAGCTAGTATTCTATGGAAACTTACTACCCACTAATATCTAATCTGATCTTAAAAAAAAATTAATATTTCCATTTCAGACTCAAAAATTCTATCTAGTAGATGGCTAATTTTCACTTCAATCTACTTTGATTTTGTTAATTCTCATCACCACTTTCTCATGTTGCAATTAGGACTGCAAATGAGTTAAATTGAACTTAGTTTTGACCTAATCAAGTCAAACTTAGCTCAATTTCATAAATGTCGAATTGGAGTTCGAACGTGACGAGCTCTTAATGTAAAGTTTGAACTCGAGTTCGAAATCAAATTCAAACCTAGTCAAGTTCGAGATGAGCTTTAGCCGAGTTAGCTTGCGAGTCACCTCCATTTGTTTGTAACCTTAGTTGCAATACTAATGAGTAAATTTCATCCATCAAATAGTCTAAATTACAGTTTTAACATTCTGCTTACAATTTTAATAAGTATTTAGGTGGATAATATGTGTGTGTCTATTCTGATTATAATTTCTGTTGGATTCATCAATATTTTACTTGGATCAATCTCCATATATCGGTGAAGATAGGCCTATCTAAAAATGTCTCTGGACTGAGGCTTAAACACTCTTGTT